TGAAGGTGTTCAATGTAGGTGCTTGAACCACCTCCGATGGCAGGCTGTTCCAGACCTTGGGGGCTCAGACAGTAAAGAAATTCTTCCTTATGTCCAGCCTGAAACGGTCTTGCAGTAGTTTATAACTGTTCGACCTCATCATCCCTTGGGGCGCTCTGGTGAACAAACATTCCCATTGGCCTTCTTCCAGTCTTCGGGCACTATACCAGAGCACCAGGAGTTTTCAAAGATTTGTGCCAGAGGCTGGGCTATGATGCTCGCCAGGTCCTGGAGCTTGGGGGGTCATGTCTGGTTGGGGTGGGGTCCTGTGTTGGGGCAGGCCTCACTGCAGGGTGATCCCTTGTCATCTGGTCTGTGGTTGCTAATTGTGTTGCTAGCTTCATGGGTCATCTCACCATGGCCACGTTACGGGTTACTGGAGTGGTTTGGGTGGTTGGCCTCACAGCCATGGGCCTTTATGCTACTCCCCAGCCCTGGCATGACCAGTGAGCCTCACCTCAGTCCCTGGAAAAATGGAGCATATCCTCAAGGAATCCATTTCTGAGCTCTTGGAGGAGAAAAAGGTGATTAGGAACAGTCAGCTGGATTCACCGGGGCAAGTCATGCCTGATCAACCTGATTGCCCTGTATGATGAGATGACTGGCTCTGTGGATGCGGGGAGACTGGTGGATACGGTATACCTTGATTTTTAGCAAGGTTTTTGATACAGTCTCACACAACATTCTTGCAGGCAAGCTAAGGAAGTATGGGCTTGATAAATGGATTATAAGGTGGATAGAAAATTGGCTGGAGCATTGGGCTCAGAGCAGTAAACAATGGCTTGATGTCTAATTGGCAGCTGGTATCAAGTAGATTGGCCCAGGGGGTTGGTCCTGGGGCCAGTTTTGTTCAATGTCTTCATCAACGACCTGGAAGATGGCACAGAGTGCACCCTCAGCAAGTTTGCAGATGACACCAAGCTGCGGGGAGAAGTAGATTTTATAGATTTCTAGGGTTGGATGGGACCTTAGCAGATCGAGTCTGACCCCTACTCTGGGCAGGAAAGAGCACTGGAGTCAAGTAACCACAGCCAGGTGCTTGTCTAATCTCCTTTTGAACATTTCCAAGGTAAAAGAAAGCACCACCTCTCTTGGAAGCCCATTCCATATTTTGGCAACCTTCACTGTAAAGAATTTCTTCCTGATGTCCAGTCTAAATCTACTCTCCTTCAGTTTATGGTTGTTGTAACCCTGAGGGGTGCCCTGGTAAGCAGAGTATCCCCTATTCCCTGCTGACCCCTCCCTTGATGAGTTTGTAGAGAGCCATGAGATCATCTCTCAGCCTTCTCTTGTCGGGAAGAGATTCAGGTCCCTCAATCTGTCTTCATAAGATCTTACCCGCAGGCCCTCAACCATATGAGTAGTCCTCCTCTGAACCCGTTCCATGTTATCCACATCCCTCTTGAAGTGTAGCGCCCAAAACTGGATGCAGTATACCATCTGTGGCCTCACCAATGCTGCGTAGAGGGCAAGTATCACCTCCCTAGACCTGCTCATGATGCACCTACTAATGCAGGAAAGAGTACAGTTAGCCTTACTTATCTACTCATGTGACAAGATAATATGCTGGAGGGTAGGGCTAGGATTCAGAATGACCTAGACAAATTGGAGGATTGGTCCAAAAGGAATCTCATGAGGTTCAACAAGGACAAGTGCAAAGTTCTGCACTTAGGACAGAATCCCATGCACCAGTACAGGCTGGGGGCTGACTGGCTGGGCAACAGTTCTACAGAAATGGACTAGAGGGTTACAGTGGACAGTAAGCTGAATGAGCCACCAGTGTGCCCTTGTTGCCAAGAAGGCTAATGGCATACTGGGCTGCATTGGTAGCTTTGTTGCCAGTAGGTCAAAGGAAGTGACTATTCCCTTCTATTCAGCAGTGGTTATTCCCCTCTATTCAGCAGTGGTGAGGCCACATGTGGAGTACTGTATGTAGTTTTGGGCCCCGCACTACAGAAAGAATGTAGAAAAACTTGGAGAGAGTCCAGCAGAAATTTTCTCACTAGGAGGGTAGTAAAACCCTGGAACAGGTTACCCAGAGAGGTGGTGGATTCTCCCGTCCTTTGAGGTTTTCAAGACTCTGGTAGACAAAGCTTTGACTGGGATGATCTAGTTGGGAATGTGTTGGACTAGGTGACCTCCTGAAGTCCCTTGCAACCCTAATTTTCTATGATTGTATATCGTGCAGTCCCTCTTGGTATCAACTTTTCTTAGTCATGGTGAGCCACTACTCTGAATACATTTCAACTTCTTCACTCCCATAGCTGAGCTTCACATTTCTTTTCTCTTTCCAATGATTCCTGTTTCTTCAGCCTTAAACATCTGGCAGACATCACCAAACAGTTCATGCAGAATGCCTCAGGCCCCTCTCACTGCCTGTTGCATATCCTTAGTGTGGCCCCACCCTCCATGAGGTGGAGCCAGACCAGGTTATTACTCTGCACTTTCTCTGCGTACACATTTTTTGGAGGATTCCAGGACTTGACAAGAATGCCTGGTTCCAGTCATGGGGGGCGGTGCTAATTAGCACATAGATCCTTTATGGGGGTGGGTATTTGGAGTGCTGAGTTTTGTGGGGTCACCTTGGCTTGAAACACTGTTTACTCTGGTGGGGCCCAGCCCAATGAACTGTATGGTGAATTGGAAGCCTTTTGACTTTGGATTTTTATGCATAGTTTGTGTTATATATAAATAGATACGTAAGTGCTGCTTCAAAGTATGTTTATGAAGTACCTGCATTAAAACATGCTGCAGTTGTACAAAAGGTAAACTGCATCAATGCTGGATTCCATAACTAAGTCTATTGGGTACCCCTAATAACTTGCCTGTGCACAAATTACTACATATATGTTTACTTCAAGGTCACTGTTTTCAAATTTGCCTGTGGGCTTAAGGAGATCAAGTTCTGACGGTAAGGAAGGAGGGGGAAGGGGCTGTAAGTAGAAGTTGGGAGGAGGCAGAGGGAAACAGGGCTATCTGACCCCTCCCAGATTTATTTTCTTTGCTGTAGCAGTCGGACCATGATGAATTCAAGGCAAAATTCCAATAATTAGATTCTATACCCAGAAAATTACAACATTTGTGATTGTGATTTGTGATACAACATTTTCTGTATATGGAATCTAATTATGGGGGAGTAGTCTTATATTTGAGTAAGTACAGTAATTCAGTCTGTGAAATGGGATAGTGATGCTACCTTTGTTTTATAAAAAACTTTCAGGTCTGCTGGTAAAAAATACTATATGAAAGATAAGTGTTCAGCAGAAAGAAATGATAAAAAGACCCATCTGTTCTTGCATTAAATAATTCTTTAACATTTACAGGAATTCATGAAGATTACCAGTTACCATACTATGACCTAGTCCCATCAGATCCCTCAGTTGAAGAAATGAGGAAAGTTGTTTGTGAGCAGAAGCTGAGGCCCAATATTCCCAATAGATGGCAAAGCTGTGAGGTGAATATTACTAAGTGTGCTAAAACAAAAATAATTTAAGTGTAAACTGAAGCTATGATTAATTTTGATGTCTGCCTTCAACAAAATCAGAATACAAGGAAATGTGTTTGAGACTAAGTGGCTTAGATCACTGTGTTTTTTTTGTTTTTTTGTTTTTTTTATTGCACAGTATTATTTTGTTAATGAGATTTGTATGCTGAGATTCAACATGTTGAGCAAGGCTAGTTAAGTTTTTTCCACAAGACAGTTCTAAGATCCTTCCTTTCAACAGTAACTGAAGTTCATATGAAAATATCAACAAATACACGTATGTCATCACTTATAATTCAAACAGAACTCACTGAGTAACAGATGTTCCAGAGGCAAGTTTTCTAGTCTGTTGTTCCACAATCATATAAATGCCTGACAGTTGCCTGGAATACATTATACCAAGGAACAAAGAAAATCTCAACTGGCTTATAGCTGTAAAAGTATGAGAAAATGCATGTAATGGAAAATCCACATTTTCCATTTGCTGACTCTGTCTATGCTTACACATTGTAGCAACAAAAACATGACATGCGTGACATACTGGCAGAAATAAAGAAAGCTACCAGACTCTTGCTTAATCTAGGACTATTACTGATGTAACTCAGCTGGCAGTAGCTCTTTTCGCAAAAAGTTCTAGCAAAATACTTTTATAGACCATTTTTAAGAAGAAATTATGCAAGAGAAATATGAAAATTTACTGTGTTCAGTGAAATTTTAAAAAATTCAGTGCTTGAGGCAAGATTTTGTTTGTCATGTGGTCCAGGACCCAAAATTATAAGAGTTGCAAAAACGTATAATTGTGGATTATTTACTAATTGTTATTTTCTGTTATCAGTCAAAGCTTTCTTTAAAATGAATGTCTAGAAAACTTCAGAGGTCAAAATAAAGTCTTTGAACTAAATGGAAAATGAGGCAGGGATACTTTTATGTGAATTTGACTGAAAAACTAACTCTTTACATGAGGAGAGTTAAGAAAGTTCGTTATGCTTCCTGAAATATTAAAACTCATTAAACCCCTGTGTGGGTTGTGGGCTGTCATTCAGAAGTAAAATGGCTTTAGTTTTCTTTTGCTTAATCCCATTGAGGCTTGTTAATGTTGGTTGAATATGAATACAGTACTTCAAATGAAGCTTTAAATTCTGTAAGTAAAATGTAGAGGACTGGATTCTTCTCTTCATTCTCTCTCTTTCAACTGGAAGTACAAAAACAAGCATTAAGTCACCAGTATCTTAACACATTAAACTTACTGCTGCTCACCTAGTCTCCTTACTATTTACATCTTCAGATTTGTTATTATATGCTGTATATACTGTGAAAAATAGCAGATGGCAGAGGCAGTTTCTGGTGGTTCAGTAATGGTAAAATTCATCACTGCTACCATGGCAGTTTAAGGCAAAGTACAAATAGTAAAAAAACCTAAGGCTGAATCAATTCATCTTCACAGGTTAAGCTGCGTAGATTGAACCATTAAGCAAGTGAGCAGACATTCACTTTTGATTCTGGAAATGCAGCCACATGCCTGCAGTGGCCCAGGCCAGAAGCCAGGGGGCACAAGAGCTTGCCTCCCTGCTTTACTGGAGCAGACAGTTTGAACCAAGCTTAGTTTGCCTTTCCTACAAGGTGGGGTTTGCAGGGGAGGTGCAAAGCATCCTGGGAAACTGGGGAACTCTAATTTAACTTGAATTTGGAGGTGATCTGGGACAGAAGTTCAATAAACCAATTTAACCTAAATCAGTCAAGACTGATACTAAATCCATCCAGGTTCATCTTAAACTGGTTTCGGCCATTTTGAAAGTGGTTTGTGTGCACTGAACTTGTTGGATTACAGATTTGAACCACTTTCCAATCACTTACACTGGTTTATGTGTAATTTCTGTCCCTAGCCTACAAATTCAGGACTTAATTCTCAGTCCAACAAACCATTTAAATATGTAAGAATTCCCAGTGAAGTCTGTAGCACAACTCATGTGCCATAAAGTTAACCAGGTGCTTTTGATTTGCTGAATTAAAACTGTGAGCTTTTCCTGTCTTGAGTATTTTATAGAACATCCATCACTAGAATGGATCAAGAGCCTTCTGACTTTAATTTCATATAAGAAACCCAGAATCAGGGGGCCATTTACAAGGTTTAGAAATGAAGGTTATGGATAACGTGTCTTCCAGGGACAAGCTGTACGTTTTTTTATTTTCTCGTTGTCATAGGTCTTGGCTAATTGACTTTTAATTAGGGCTGTCAGTTAATTACAGTTAACTTGCGCGATTAATGCAAAATGCATTAATGCATTAATTTTTTTTTAATCGCATTAATTGCGCACATCATTTTGACCAGTGGAGTGGACCAGCTCTAGGCCAGGTGCGCAGCTCCAACCCCAACCTGCCCCAGATTCACCCACCCATGCTAAGCAGCAGCAGCAGCCAGGCAGAAGCTGCTACTCAGCACAGTGAGATTAAAATTCCAATTAATTGCGATTATTTTTTTTAATCGTTCATCAGCCCTACTATTAATATATTATTTCTAATACAGTTTTTATTGAACTTACATGGTCATCTCTTAATAGGGTTAACTCAACTCACCTGTGATCTCCAGAATTACTTATTCTTATTTTATTCTTAAAATGTCAGCAACAGGTCTCCAAAATTGTTATAGAGAACATTGCTAATTATCATGCATCTCTCCCCTGAGTTAAATTTCTAGCATCTTATACATGAAATAGACTTCTCATAATTAAAGGTGTTGACAACTGAAGGATGCTATTAATCACATTTTTAGGAGACTGCACCGGAATATCTAATTCAAGGTGGCTTCTGGATGCTTCTCCTCTCTCTCTCTTTTTCAGTTGGAAGTACAAAAACTAAAAGGGCAATATTCATGTCTCTCTCAGATCTTCAAACTTCAGCTTATTTTTTATAAAAAAAAATTGTATTTTAACTGAGCCTAATAGCTGTACTAGAATAAGCATAACCATCAGAAACCTGTTTTTCTTCAATGAAATGAGAATCTAGAATTCCCAACAAAATATACTTCGGTGCTACTATGATATATAAATTGTAAGAATTTCAGAAATTAGAATTCTTAAGAGGTTAAGCTATAACACTGATTTGTAATTGAAATAGAAAAATATAGATTTCTCTTCTCTCTCTCTCTCTTTACAGGCTTTAAGAGTAATGGCAAAAATTATGCGGGAATGTTGGTATGCCAATGGAGCAGCCAGGCTAACAGCTTTACGTATTAAGAAAACATTATCACAGCTCAGTCAACAGGAAGGCATAAAAATGTAATCCTAGATTTGCTACTGAAAAACACTCTACAGATCCATATCTGCACCTGGGTGGCGTGCTTAGAAGGTTAATTGTTCTACCTCACTGAGGGAACAGAAGGTTATTGATGCCTTTTGATACTTCATAGGAACGTCATTTATTAGCCCCAGGGTTCTTGTGGACATGGTAAACCGTTATGTTGAATTTTTTCTGTGCACTATGAACACCTCCTTCCCAGGACACTTATAAAATATTGTGTAGCCTCTTATTTTTATTAACATGTAACCTTGATTTTAAAAGTTGATTGCTGGTCTTAACTTTTAGTTAACTGCTGGAAATATGAAGATTGTTTCTAAGATAGTGCAACTGGTTCATTAAATTGTATACAGTGCATTGGGGGGGAGGGGGTTAAATGATTTATTCCTGATTTGGTACATTGAGTATTCTAAACTACTGTAAGACAACTTTGATTCAGTTTTTGAATGTACTATTACAGTGTACCTTTCTAGTTACCACGGTTACATCTATTGGACACTTACCTTGATTTACAAAAATGACCTCTTTTAGTTATGGGGAACATAATTTATGCAATCTTTTTTTCTATACTATTACTGCTCTTTCACTTATTCAGAACATTGCATTGCCTTCAAAATAGATTGTACTTCACCAGTAAGTGCCACTTTTGAGTCTTTCTAATGCAAATCAGTGGGAACATAAGTCTATGGTACTTTTGGTTTCAAAATTAAGAGTTCAAAAATTCAGTTACTTTGTTGCTTAGCTAAAGATATAATTCACATTATTCAATATGGTTACATTCTTCTTGGAATATGTTTCTTTTAACAAAATTGATTCTTAAACCACTTAAGGAATTAGTTTATTTACTGTCATAGCCTGTTCTATAAATGTCACATGCCATGAGTTGTAATTATATCTAAGAAGAATTGTTTTAATCAAGTGGTATTCTTAAAAAGCAGGTAGTACCTGTATCTATGTGAAGTAGAAGAAGGGCTAATGGCTTTTTAAGAAAAAGAGGGTTGTTCTTTGCCACTTGTGGAAAAACTTACTTTTTGTGCAGTTCTGCAAAGCCTTTTTTATTATTATTATTTGCTCAGAATCAGTATTATTTGCAAATAAGAGTTAACTGAATCTGTAATTATATGTAATGTTTGGGCTTGATTTTTTTAGAAAGTTAAAAGCTGCTTATAAATTATACATTCATATACTTTGTGTATATGTCTCAGACTGAAAATGACAAGCCGCAAGTCTTTGGATACAAATACCAGAAGGTTCTAAAACCCTCATGATAACTACAAGAGCAAAGCTAGGCAGGTTTGTGTTGTTATAAGAACCCGGAAAAATATGCAGAGCTTTATTCAAGATTTACCTAAATTCTACAGACTATCACAGAATTTTAACAAACTTAATATAACAATTTTGTGACCAACTTTCTGAATGAATAACATTTTATGGTGAATAAAAAACCAGAAGTTGAGGAGAAATTAGCTGTCTTAAGAAGTTTTTCAGGGGAGTTTAGGCTTTGGGATAGAAGGTATAGTTTAGTCTGCCTACTACCAATTTGATTGTTGCACAAAAAAAAAATCATTGGGACTCTTATGTACAACACAGGCGAGACGCATGCACTCCCAAGTTCTTGGAAATTATGCCATTTAATGCTTATAACCTTTTGGTCTCTCTCAGATGCACACATCTTATTAACCCCACTACTCAGGTGCCAAACACTGCAACATTAACTTTGCTTCTATTTTACCCTTATGCATACAGCCATTTAAGACTACTTTTGAAGCTTCAGTTGTATGGAGATAGTGTAGTTTGGTAAAAGGCTGTTCAGCCATAGTGCTGTTAAGTAGGGCTGTGCAAAGCTTCGGTCCCTGATTCAATTCAGTGGAGTTTCAGCCCAATTCAGTGGTTGAATCTCTGAATCCAAATAAAATCGGAGGACCCTTAAATTTCTCCGAATCAAATCGGAACCCTCCAAATTGATTTGAGAGATTTGGAAAGGTTTGGCAATTTAGACATAGACACAGCTTTAAATGTTTTTTCTACGTACCTCTAGGTAGCAGGTGGCTTGTAAATGCTGTGATGCTGGAGCGCATGGAGTGCCCCACAGGAGCGTGCGGGGCTCCCCAGTGCACTTGGCAGCAGACCTGGAAGTGGACCAGAAGGACTTCTGGTCCACTTCTGGGCTCACCGGAGAGTGCACAGGGGGCCCCCCAAACTCCCCCCCAGCTCAGCGACTGGTGCATCCTGGGTCTGGGGGGGCACCCAGGGTCCCCCCCATGGCAGATTGCTGAGCTGGGAGTGGGGTGGCCCAGCAGCCCCAGAAGTGGACCAGAAGTATTTCCAGTCAACTTCTGGGTTCGCCGCTGAGTATGTGGAGGGCCCCCCATGCTCCTGTGGGATGCTCCATCCACCCCAGCATCGCAGCATTCATGAGCCGTGCTGGTACTTTGAGGTATGTAGAAAAAACATTTAAAGCTGTGTCTGTGTCCGAATTGCTAATTCTCTGAATCCGCACTGAATCTTCAGATTTGGATTCGGCCAAATTGAATCAAGGACAGTGATCCAAATCAACTAATCGAATCACTGTCCCTGATTTGGGCCGAATCTAAATCTGATTCGAATAGAGCCCGGTTTGTACACCCCTACTGTTAAGGTTATTTTGTTGGGTCCTTTATGTATGCAAAATGGTAGTAGTAATTAGGTGGGTGCCTGGGTGAAAAAGGTCTATGTAGTACTAGGCAGGGCATAATATTTTCCTTTGACTTCCTTGCTTTTATTGGTGTGCAATAGCAGCCTTAACTGTTTCATAGTTTGTATGTTTCCTGCTTTAATGTTTTCTTGGAAGTGGGAGTTGTACAGCATAGAATTGTGGACCTCTGAGGGGCTTGGAATTAGAACTGCTAACATTTTTACCCATCAATTGCTGTTTAACTACAACCATTGCCTGCTGTGGGATGGAATCTGACAGACAAGCAAAGTTCCTGTCAGAGAAGCTTTGGATCTGAGCCCACATAGGTTTATCAGGTTGGTGTGTTTGACCGTATCCAGTTGGCATGGGCTCAGCCCTCATTGATCACACTTGCATATGCCTGGACTCCGTCAGATTTTTATAGGGTCAGTCAGTTTATGCATACCTAGACTCCATCAATTAAAATGCATATCACCATGAATTTCCAAAAACAACTGCTAAGTGACCCCAGAAGTAATGTTTAAACCTGTTCATTGCACCAAATCTACTTAGTATCCACTTCTTTTCACAACAAATTTTGAGTAAACAGTTTTTTTCTTTAAGATTTGTCATCAGTGAGGTGTTGGGGGGAGGGGGGAGTAGGCAGAGGCACTACTGAAGGAAAAATTATGGCAAGAGCCAAATATCAAAGTCTCTCCCCTCCCTCTCCCCATCAAAAATTTGATGAGGAACCAAATGAACCTTTTATGTGTTTCGAATAGCCCTGTGTGAATAGCCCTGTGTGAACTTGTACTTGGCACTACTTTTATAGAAATAGGCAGAGGTGGATCCAGTGCAGAGAGGTGATTCAGTTGCTCTCCCCCCCTCTCCCCTTCCCCCCCCCCACACGCACACTTTGGCTGTGCATTGCTGGGGTGAGGAGGAAGGGGGAGAGCTGCAAGCTTCAAGGCTCATTGTGATCTCTGAGATAACAGCACATGTAGCAGTCCAGCCGCAGCTGTGCTGACATGCCAGTGGGCTCTAAGAGCTCACTGGTTTGTATTTAGGATCATAGCAAGGGACTGCGGCCACATGTCCTGGTGTATGGCACATGCACAATGAGGTGTCTTCACCAGGCATACATCCCACTGTCAAGAGTGGGACATAGCTGTTGCGCCCCTGTCACCATGTTCCAGGATCCACCCATGGAAAAATTTTTTTTTTTATGCCATTCTTAAAAAATGAAGCTATATAATTTTCTATTTTGTACTTCGTTAGTGGGGAGAAGATGACCTTTTTAGGAGGACAAATTGGAAAATCCACCAGTACTGACCTTTATAAAAACTGTGAAGTATTTCACAACTTTGATTTTAAAACATTTTAAATACTTCTGTGCTAAACTAAATAGAACTCTATCATTCTTAAAAGTAAATGTCTAGAGCAGTGGTACAGGACTGTAGCATGCAAGTTACCCTACAACTGATTAGCTTAATTCAGTTTTGTCTGTCATCTTTTTGTCCCATTAGCCATAACTTTCTTGAAAACTAGTAGCAATCATTGTCAAGCTTTATAAATTGTTATAAAAAATGCACAGAAGGGGGTTAGGGTAATGAATTTTAGTATTTGAATGGGAGTTATTTGGGGAAGAAAATTATATAATAATACAATGCAGAATAGGAAAATTGTGAATAAAACTGTATGTATCCTGGGTTCTGATGACATCACAAACTTAAGCTTTGTTCTTGTTTTTCATTTTATTATCTGAACACCTTTTATGAGTGGGTGTCTGTATATATTATGTAGCTTTTTATATATTACCTGTGTAAAATCATATATCTATATATGTGCACACAGGCGCACATCAATATTTTTTAAATTAAACTGTAATATCACTAGATCTGCTCTTGGAAAGCCAGGGGGACCAAACTATTTTAGCACTCAAAAGATTAATTTTGTATCATTTCAAGGATATACCAAAACAATTTCTGATGAGAAATACTGATGCAAATGTTCACTGTATATATACATGCATTATACATTCACTTCTTCAAGGTTCACAGATTTCATCAATTTGACATTTTAGTAGCATTGAAGCCTCACTTCAAATTACAGACTTGTGACCAGATGAATATGGACATGCATAGCAAGGGATGTTGGAAATGGTCTGGTACTAAAAAGCCTCAAAATATCCTTTTTTGGAATGCTGGAATTCTTCAGGAACCCTTCCTCCTTGAAAGCTGGAATTCTGGGATGTTTTATTGAAGCTGTCTAAGCAGCACTGGCACATTTTCACCACCAACTGAAACTTTTTTGCTTGTAATCTTAACAGACTTTGTAAATAGGGGTAGTGGGATTGACTCTGAAGACTTAGGTCTATCAAGTGGCGCGAGAGGCAATTTTTTATTTTTTTATGAAATAATGGTTTTGTGAGTTGAGTGCCATGAAATCCACTTTTAGTTAGATCCTTTATCTTGTGCCATTGAAATGATTACAAGGTGTTTGACACTTTTACATGTAAAAGAAAAGCTTCAATATGTCAGTTGCTTTAAACTTAAATTACCTCTTAAAAGACCAAGGTACATTTACCTCATTGTGTATATAATGTTTAATATTTGAGCATTCTCCAGGTTTGTGATCACATTTCTAGAAAATATGGGTATTGCTAAATTTACAACTTCAATGGTACTAACTCTTAATTGTTTATCTGGTGACCCAAAATACTTTATTTTCTGTATTTTATTGTATTTCTGCAAGTTTGCTGCTTTGTCAGTGTAGCATATGCCCTTCCAGAGCTGTGTGGATAATGCCTTGTATAAATTTTACATATTGGTTGATAAATTTTGAGAATCCTGTACAGATGAGTTTGTCATTTTTTAAACCTTAAAAAACTGTGCATTTCCCCGTACATTTCTGAAAAAAAATATGTATTGTATTTGTAGAGTATACATTACAATGGATTGTAAATAGGAAAGTAGAAGAGTGATGCTTATGTTAAGTGCTAACACTACAGTAGAAAAATTAAAGGAATGAAAATAAATTTACTTTTTCAAAGTAGATAAGCTGTCTTGTCTTTTTGCCTTTTGTTTCCACTTTTTTACCAAAAGGGCAGAATGCTCAGTCGAGGCCACAATATAAAGTAAGTGGTGTAAATTGGAAGTCGCTGGTGAATTTCCCCCCCTGTTACATGGGAGGATCGCTGCTGGTTGGAAAGGTAATAGTTGCTTTGCTAGTGCCTGTGTCGGTCATCTCCATCCATTGTATTAAGGGGTGCCTGATCCTCCCCTTAAGTGCCATACAACAGTGAGTAAATGTCCCTGCTGCTCTATTGTCTCCTTCGACAAAATAGCTGATGATAACTGTTGATAACTTTAGTGATTTTTTGTTGTTGGAGCAACAAAGTATATGCATTACTGATTCTATATTGGTTTACTCTGTGTGCTACTTGGTAAATTTTGTCTAGTGACACTTTTTACACCTTAAACTAGATTTTACCAGACAGATCTTCTAATCTGGCAAATTTTTCATTCTCAGGAATTAACAATTCTGGTTGCCTGTGGGATTGCCACTCTACATTGCATGTCCAAGAAATAGAGGTGAGCTGGCCAGGAAGCTTGTTTATTTTGAACCAGCTATGTAATTGGGATAACGTTCTTGAATGCAAGAATATCTTGCATCTTAAATGGATGCAGTATAAAAAGTAGCATGGTAACCATGATGGTCCAAGGAAGAATAAGTGAGAAGCAAGCTACGTCCGATTAATATATAAATGGGAAAAGATATTGGACATTTTATGCTCAAAATTTGTCCTTTGGGTCCTATTTCTTGCACTATAGAGTACCATGATGCTTTTTCCACAAGCAGCAAATTAAGTATTACATGCACTGGCTCCCAAGTGGTA